GGGCTCCATTTATTTACCTCTTATCTCCTTCAATAAAGATTTATAATTTCACACAACATGGAAGAGGCACATTTTATTGTTTATGTTTAGGTATCTTACTTTTCTGTGGAGATCAGAATTACATTCTAAGTTCATTTTATTATCGAATTTTACTGATTTATAGCAAAGTCACTGGGGATTTTTGCGTATATTTTCTACCTGAAATTGTTTATGAAGAGATGATTTTGCTGCTAAAATCATCTCACTGTACTTCATGGACTTGGTTGTATTGCAAATAGGCATAAATCATATCAACTACTCTGGAAGCCCCATGGGTACAAGAATTGCTGTGTCTCTTTGAGACTCCACCAAGGACGGTTCTATTAATCATGTTGTTTTTTTTAATTTTCTGTAGTTTATGATGCTTTGATATCTCGAGGCCTTGTTGACCTGGCAGAGACTGCCCCTCCCAGGGCGAGCTCACTCTTAGAGACAGCAAACCTCCTCTGCAGGCATAACTGTCAAGTGCCAACCATCAATCTATGCAGGTTGGTGGAATCAGGGTTTGAACCTGAGCCTGCCTGGCCTTAGTCACTTCACTGCTTTCCTTTTGATGCTGCTAATACCCACTCACATCCTGGCATGGGTATGATCCCTTTGACCCAATAACACTTGTGAATGAGCACTTACGATTGCACATCTATTGTGATCAGCGGTTTACAGAGACTTCACACTGCATGTGTTTCATATTTTCATTCCTGTTGGTTGCTCTCCTGCTTGTCCAAGTGGATGCCAGTGTGTCCATGATGCATGTGGCTGTGTAAAGTAGGCCTTGGACTTACAGCGGCCCCACCCTATACATTGAGTTGTTGTTGCTTTCAAGGAGACATATGAAATGTCCAACAGAATGGATTCTGTAGAAGAAATGCCTTAACACCTTCCATCCTTTATGAAACACCTGAGAATAGACACACACCGAGTGTTGACCTGTGGGGGAAACACCTGTGTATTTGTTGGCATCCAAGCCACAAACTAGTGTCACTTGTCACATCTGGGCTGCAGGGGTGCATTGGGGCCCTCCCCAAGCATGCTCGCTCCACCTACTTGGACCCACTGTCTCTAGGAGACGCTGAGGTCAGAAGAGTTGAAAGTGCTCAGATATTCCCAAATACCAGCCCCAGGAATCTCTGTGTCCCCGATGCCTGGCTGGCTGCTCCTCATGTCTGGAACACATGGTCCTCCCCGGGATGCTGCAGGAGCAGCACTTAGGAGCGAGCAGGAACAGAAAATCCCTCTTCTGAAATGTTATGCATTAATGTGAGAACAACATCTGTTCCGGATGCCAGGACCCCAAAGCTCTTGGTTTGTGTCTGACCTCAGGGAACCGACAGTGACCTGGGATGGGGTCAGTCTTACTCATACGTACGCCACACATCACACCCCAAAGGACATGGCTGTCTGCTGAGGACACCAGGCCGCAGAGCCTGTGGAGCATATGGTGAGACAGACTAAGAGGGCAAGAGAGACTTCTGATGCCAAAGCATCGGTCTCATACACATGGATTAGCACCTATGGCTGAAGTCATTTCCTCTCAGCCAAAAGCGGAGGAGCTTGGAGACCAAAGCAGAGGCCAAGACAAGATGTCAGGAGGGGAAGAGAGTTTTATCTTGTGACTGTGGAGTTTTCTGACTTGCAAAAATCTGTTAGGATACTGCCTGAGAGGAAGAGATGTCGGCAGAGCTTAGTGACAGCAATTCCAACACGTGGGTGCAGCATTCACTGGTCTCCACGTACTTGCAGTTTGGACTTGATGGTGGGGATTTCCTGGCAAAGCCTCCATGGCTCTGATTTTTCATTACCAGGTCAATAATGCACATCAGGCCTCATCCCAGACCCTTACCCCACCCCTCACTCACCTGACCTTTCGTCCTCACTGTGCTAAAGATCTTCAGTGCACTGTGTCATTAAATCCTTAAACCGCCGTGAGTGGCAGCACAGAGGAAGCAGCCTGGTGGTGGTTGAGGGTGCAGACTCAGAGCCAGGCCACTCTGCCACCTACTTCCTGTGAAACCTACAAAGGGGGTGCAGTGGGCAGCATGTGGCTCCAAAGCTCTCAGGTCCTCCCTGAAAAGTGCTGCCTCATGTGGTAAAGTTTGTGCAGCTGTGATTAAATCATGAATCTTGAGGTGAGGGGTTACCCTGGATCATCCAGGTGGGCCCTCAAGCCCATCATAAGTGCCCTTTTCATAAAGGTGTTTGAGACAGACCCAGATGAGGACACACTGTGACCAGAAAAGCAAGACCAGAGTGATGTGGCTCCAAGCCAAGGGATGTGAGCAGCCACTGAAGCCAGAGAAAAGGAGAGATTCTTACCTTTGCTTCCAGACAGGGTACAGCCTGGCCACACCTTGCTTTTAGACTCTGATCTCCAAAACTGTGAGAGAATAGATTTCTGGTTTTGGGTTTATTTTTAAAGATTTTATTTATTTATACAAGAACAGGGGTATAGGCCAGAGGCACAGGAGGGTGAGAGGATTCACCAGAGACAGAGCGGGGAACAGAACAGGCAGACTGACTGAAATACACTGCTGAGGGGAGCAGCGGGAGAGACAGAAGAGGTCTGCTGCACCATGTGGGTTTCTCTGCGGCCAACGGGGATCGAACCGGCACTGCAGAGGCTGCGGACAGCTTCACAGCACTGCACTCAACCACCTGCGCCACCAGGGAGGCACTAGCTTTCTGGCTTTTTAAGCCACAAATGTGTGGTGGTTTGTTCGAGCAGCCTCAGGAAACTAATACGAGGAGCTTATGTTTGTTACTTCTTAGGGTTGTTGTAAGAATTAAATGATCCAGTACACCTACACCATCTGTTACAGAGTGAATATTCCAAATACCTTCACCTGTAGGCATCAGCACCATTATTTTTATCTATTTCTTTTTACTTTTTATTTTATTGAGATAAAATATGGGTTTACAACACTGTACATGACTTAGGGGAATAGGTCCCACCTCCTCAGATGTATGTCATACACTCCCCACAGCAGCACCCAGAGTCCTTTACCCTAAACCACTGAACCCCCCTCACCCCAGTAGCCTCAATTCTGCAGTTATATTTCTAGGGTTTGTTCTGGTTTAGTTCTGCCACTTTATTTCTTTTGTTTCTCGGTATTCCACACAAGAATGAAAGCTCCAGGTTGGTCTTTCTCCTTCTCACTTAGCACCAGCCTCTCAGTTCCAGCCAAATGGTCACAAATGAGTTCATCTATTTTATAGCTGAACAGTATTCCATTGTGTAGAGACGCCACATCTTCCTAATTGTTCCTCTGTCCTTTCTCACTGCATCCTCGCCGCAGCCCTGCGAAGCAGGTATTGCCCCCATTTACAGCTCTGTCCTTCCCACGTGTTTAAGGTGATGGTCACGATGATGGCTTACTGATGCTGATTGGCATAGACCCCGCCTTCACCTGTAGGCATCAGCACCATTATTTTTATCTATCTCCATTTTTAATTTTACCTTATCTATTTATTTTATTTATTTTTTATTTATTTATCTATTTTATTTTATCTATTTCTATTTTTTATTTCTATTTTATCTATTTCTATTTTTATCTATTTCCCAGACACACCTGGGAACTCTTCATGCTTTCATTTCACCCTCACAGCCTCAGGAGGCATTGCAATTCTGATGATTTTGACGAGGTGTTATTATTCCCAACTTACAGATGAGGAAACTGAGACACAGAGGGGCTAGCTAAGGTCACACAGCTGGTAGCTACAAAAGACAGGTGTTAAGCTCAGGTGGCTGGGTGGTTGGCTTCAGAGATCCACATGCCAGCTGGTGCTTGGTTTTGGAAATAAAGTTGATTGGCACACAACCATGTCCATCTGCTCATTCACTGTCTACAGCTTCTTTTCTGCCCCACTAGCAGAGCAGTGGAACAGAAACCATAGTCTGAAACACCTAACATATTGACTATTTGGCCCTTTACAGAAAGATCTAGCACCTGAAGGTAGTGTCATCTGGCATATCCTGAGAAAGTTAAAAGTCCTTTGAGACATCTCCCCAAAGCCAAGGGGGCGTGGGGACCAGAGAAAGGCCTTGCCCTCAGGTGCACCTGCACTGAAATCCCCACTTGGCACCGCCTCTCTGCAGCACCCTAACTTACTCATCTTTGAACTTGAAGATAACCATTTCTTCCTCAGGAGGCTTGTGTGGAGAGCATCCAATGGGCTTCCACATGTGCAGTGTTAAGCAAACTGTAAGTACTCAATGCATGGCCAGAAGTCACCCATGGCCCAGGTGAGTGGCAGGCTCCCTTCACCTCCCCTGCACCCCAGGAGACATGTCAGCTCCGTCCTCCACCATCCATGGAGAAGTAACACCTGTTATTCCACTGAAGTGCAAAACACTTCCCATCTATTTCACATTTGCAGGCAAGCCTCAATATGCTGCTTCAGTTTGGCAGATGCAAAGAGAATACGCCAGTCTCCGACACAGCCGGCTGCCTCCCTGGTGGGCGGGAGGAGGGAGAGGTGGGGAAAACAGAAAGGGAGGGGGAAAGGGAGGGTGCAAAGGAAAAGTGGGAGAATGGAAATGGAACCCCGGCCTAGTCCCTGCATATACGCCTGGCTCTCCTCAGTGCCCAGGCGGCCTGCCTGCAAGTTGGACAAAGGGTCCTCGAATCTGGAGGTGAATTCTCAGAGTCCCACGAGCTGGTTGCTTCCACAGAATGCTTTACTAATGGCAGCTCTGTTGAGGACAAACAACACCTAGAATCTGCTTATAGCAGCAGCACCCCTATCCCTCTCTGGAACTGCTGGGTTGAGACAATTGGGGTGCTTTATCAGACTGGCTTCCCTGATTAGCTTCCCAAGGACATGTTTGGTAGTTCAGAGCTACTACCCATCCCAATCACCAATGTTCATTGAGCCCTTACCCTTTAACACCCAATGGCCCAGTGAGGAACGTTCTGCCAGCTCCATTTTACAAAAAAGGACACTGAGGCACAGAAGGTAGAAGATCTGGCATTGTGAGAGGAAAAACTTCCATTGTTTGAAGTCACCAATATGGTCATCTGTTACAGCAGCCAGAGTGACACGAGGGCTTTGCCCGTGGTTGGGCAGGTGTTAGTCAAGGAGACCACTGGATCTCACCACATTCATCCAACTCAGATCAATTGGTAGTGCCTCGGAGGTGATTCTGGAAGGAGTCTGATTTTCTCAGGAAAGAAAAGGACAATTGATTAGTGATGTCTGCTGCGGGTATGGAAACAGGAGTGATAACAAGAACACTATGTGTGTACTTCCTGTTAGAGTGCCCCCCCCCACACACTAAAAGATTAAATTCATGAATAAGTGAGATTTTACTGGGAGGGGGGGATCTTCTTGAGATAGAGAGTATTTGAGATTGCCTAAATAGCCAGAAGGCTCTAAACACAGATCAGCTCAAGCATTCTGAGACCCTGGGAAGCTCCGAGAGCAATTAGAGCTCATTTCTCTTGTTCACTGTTTCTGCAGAAGGAAAGGAAAGAGACCAGTGTGTTTCTCAAACCCACACCTTTTTTCCCCTCGCAGCCACCATCTCAGTCCCTGTCCTCATTACCTCATACTCATTATGGCCTCAGCTCCTTCCATCCTCTTCCCAAGCTTTCCCCTTCAACTTCCCCCATGCCAGCCTACAGCTGGTCTGTCTGACATAGCTCTTTCCTGCTGTTAGCTTCTCATAACCTTTTTAGGGCTCATTGCCTTCTATGTAGACCCTAAACCTTCCTCCTTTTCCTATTTCCTCACATTTTCCTGTTTCATCTCTTCTTCAGACAAGTTGAGCTGGCAAAGTGAATGCCCTGGGGGAAAGAACCCAGGTCTTTGACCAAAACAGTCCTGGGGTGCCCAATAGTTTTTCCCTGGTGTGTGTTTGGAATGTGTCAATTATGGTGATCTCAAATACAAGTAAGAGAATTCAGTGCTCCAGCTGGCTTCCATGATTGGGAAATGTCTCATCTCCCCAAGAGGGTATCTCAGAGAAAATGGGCTCCAGGAGTGGTTGACTCAGCCAGTCAGTAGTGTTGTCAGGACTCAGGTGCTTTTCAATTCTCGCCTTAGTCATGCTGGGGATGGGCATCCTCAGGTTGGTGCTACTTATTTTCAGATGATAAATATCAGGGGAAAAAGAAAGATTACTTCCGGTGATTTTCCTTTAGGAGTTGCCATCTTTACCTGGAAGTATATAATAAATTTCCTGTTGCCTCCTATTGGCTACTTTGGTGTCATTTGTTCACTCTGAATGATTCCCTAATTGGGTCACAGAATTACCCTTGGACCAATCAGATTCAGTTCTTGTGTTGAGATGGGGTTCAGCATCCCCCTGGTGCTGCCTGGGTCAGGAAGGGGAAGCCAATCAAAATTGAGTCTGCTAGGATGGTATAAGTGGATATTGGGGGTGAGGAGGGTGTGAGTGAGGGGGTGAGGAAAGACAGTCAGTGGCACCCACTATAGAGAGTTCAAGGTACAGCCTTGATTTGGACATCTTTGAGAGATTCTCCAGGCCTTATAAGTCAAGGTACACCCATTGCAGCCACCTCCACCCTAATCTAAGACTCCATATCTCTTGACAGAGCTACTGCAACAGTCTCCTGCTTTCCCCACATCTTAAACCTAATCCCATACACTATTAGCATGAGTCACATTTTTTAATTGTGGACCTGACCTTGCCTAAAAGCTCTGTGACTTTCCACTACTTTTAAAATAAGCCCAAACTCTTAACATTGTCCTAAATGGCCCTGAAGGCTCTGGCCTACCACATCACCTTCCCACCTTCACTATCCTTAGCCTTATGATTTGAACTTCCTTCCTTCAACTTCCTCGGACCTTGAAGGAAGTCCCTCCATTCTTGGGACCTTTGTATAGATCCCAAGACCTGACTTTGCTTGACAAACTCTCGATTAAAAATTGACACTTCATGTCCAAGTTTTTCAGCTTTTCCTGATGTTTGTTCTCAATGTGTCTTTTCTTTGATCACATAGATCTCAACTGTGATGACAAAACTCTTCATGTAACTGGTTGATTCCATCCCTTGCTAAACTGTGACCACAGGGACCACGTTTGTTTCCTTCTTTCCTAGACCCCTCCAGAACCTGAAATGTACTAGAAACTCAATTAATGGTGGAATTATTCAGGACTCTTGGGATCACAAACAGAAACTCACTCTATTACTTAGAATAGATTATCATTTCACCTACTGTACCAGCAAGCCAGAAGCTCAACTAAAATAAATATTTAAAGATTTCTCTCTTTTCTGACTTGTAGTAGTCTGGATGTAAGCATGTCTGGACTGACACAGCAGCTTGACAATGTGAGGGAGCCAGATTCTTTTGATCTCATTCTCCACCATCCCCTGGGTACTGTCCTCATCTTTATGATGCCAGGTAGATTATTATCACATCAACACTCCTGCCAGCAGGAGGGGAGAAAAGTAAAACCAGCAAGGGGAAGATCCATTCCTTTAGTTCAAGGGAATCCCAGAAATTATACACAAGCTTTCTGTTACCTCATGTTGTCCAGAGCTTAGTCACATTAGCATCCAGTTGCAAGGGGCAGGTGGGAAATATGGTCTTTATTTGGGGCAATACAGGGACAGCTATAAATTAGGGGTCTTATAGAAGAAAGAAAGAATGGAGGTCAGAAGAAAACGATCCCAACCAGAAAAAGGCCAGGCAATTGACTGTTTCATATAATCCCTAAAATTAAATTTCATGAAGGGCAGGGACACCCTGCATCTGGAACTCCATCTTTATCTCAGCTCTCTTTGTCTGTCAACTCATCCTCACTGTGACTGCTCTTGAAGTATCTTACAATGTTCACAGCTGGAGAGATTTTGGTTCTCTTAATCAATGCCTGGGGAAGTTCAATGCTGATTTTGAATTAAGCCACTGTGGTCAGGGAGCCAGAGTCCTATAAGAACATTATAATAAAACTAAATGGGCAAACATAGATGCCTCCTACAAAACAGAAAGACAGAATGAATGAATAAGTGAATTTGCACATCCTTACCTGTCATCTTGCATTCTGGCTAATATTCATGTGCCGATGCCTTGAAGATCAAAGCTTCCAGGTGACCCTAGTCTATCACCCCAGATGCTGGGTTCACTCAATGACCTTGTGTTGAGACAGAGTCAAAGAATCAATACTTGACATCATTAGTAGACAGACCCTTAAAGATTATCAGTGAACGAAATACATAGTGAGTCTCAGAGTGAGGAAACCTAGTAGCTGTAATGGAAAAGGTAACAGTGGACTTGGAAAAGCCCCAAGTCTGTGATTTGCTGAGTTCGCTCTTTGTGTCCAGCGGATAGGAGGTCCTCAGAGTGCAATAAGGGCGGCACGTGCTAATTGAGGACAGAAATTGTCTTCATTAGCAGAGTGTTTCTGTTATCCTTTCCATCTAAATGAGACCCAGTGGGGTAAGTTTGGAACATGATTATCAGGGATTTTGCAAGTTGACTCATTAACATAATTCCCCTGATTAGAAACCAAAGAAGCTCTTGTTGAAAATTTTCCACTAAATATTACAGGGTCATAATTCCTGCATCATTTGGTGCCTAGCTCTGAATTCTAATTTCTGATTTCCCCTATGATCTGTCAAGGGTTCTAAAGGTCTTTCATTATTTCATGAACAGTTATTAAGCTTGTATGTGTTCAGGACTCAGTTAAGTGTTGAAGATAAAGACAAAGGTTAGTCCTGACCTCAAGAAGCTTATAGTCTATAGGAGGAATAGATAAATAGACAGATAATTGCAATACTAAGGATATATGGTGCTTTTGTATGGTGTGAGAAGACAGAGAATTAGAGAGAGCGATCAGGGAAGGATTTTTGAACTAGGCAATCCATTTGTTATTTTAAGCATTGTCAGTAGTTGAAGCATGGGGGAAAGCGTGTACAAAGACAGAGGCATAAAGGATAAAGGACAACTCGGGTCCAGGTAGTTCATTATGTCTGGAACTTAAAAGGGCAAATTGAAAAGGGGAGACAGAAATGGCTTTTAGTGGGTTGGGGGGCAGATCACTACTGTTTTGATGTCCTGATGACAAAAATAATCCCCGGGGGGAACAGACTCCCCTCACATCACCAGGAATTTTCAGATACCAGCTGGGTGTCCAGGAATATGGCACAATTCTAACACTACCCAGAGACAGTGTCGGATTCCACAGTTAAGGGCTCATGTTTACAAGACTAATCTCTCCCCACTTCAGATGTCAGTTTCCACAGTTTCCATCTTGGGTTCAATTAATTTTCTAGAGCAGCTGACAGAACTCAAAGAAATATCTTACTTACTAGACTACTGGTTTATTATAAAAGTCAGGAACAACCAGACGCAAGAGGTGCAGGAGGCAAGCATGTTGGCAGCTTCCAGCCCTTCTCCAGGCACACCACGCTCTGCAAATGCCCACATGCTCACGAATCTGGAAGCTCTCTGAATTCCATCTTTTTTAGGTGTTTGTGGAGGCTCCATTACACATTGACCACTGGCTATTGATTCAACCTCCAGGCTTTCTCCTCCCTGGTGAGGGACTGAAAGTTCCAACCCTCCAATCACACATTCAGTCCTCTTAGCAACCAGCTCCCATTCTTAAAAGAAAAGTCACCTCATTAACATAACAAAAGACATACCATTTGCTATCTTTATTAGGAAATTCCAAGGATTTTAGGAACTATGTGCCAAAAATGAGAATAAACGCATTATATATTTTTTGTTATAAATCACAATGTCACAACAATGCACCTAGGAAATTAGGAAGGTGGCATTTTCAAGGGTTGGGAGAATAAAGAGAGAGATGAAGGAAGAGACTGATGAGAAACACTTTAGAGATGATGCCTAGAGAATTATGCTGCTAGCAAAAGCTCCTGTTATCCTAGAAACCTTTCAGCCCTCTCTCCAGGCCCCACCATCCTCATATGGCCACAGTCAGAAGCTTACAATTTGATCTCACAGCTGATTCGTTTGGGAGATCACCTGACTGGAGCTGGACCAATCAGGCATCAGGAATGTGATGAAGTTGTGTAGAAAATGTGTTAATATTTTAAGGGAAGGAGACAATCCTTACCTTTGCTGCCCTTATCAGAGAATTATTCCAACCTTTCCTTTACTGAAAACAACATTAAGAGGGTGAGGGGCTGAAGGATGGTGAATTTCTTGGGACCACATAGTAAGACACCCAGGCTCACAGTTGTCCTACCAGTTTGAGCAAAAAGGAGAATGATTTTTTTAAAACATGAACTGCTCCCAGATCTTCTGCTCCCAATTCTTCTGCTAGCCTTTTGATTACTTCAGACCCATGCCCACCTCACTGATTTTTTTTTTTTGTATTTGCTGTGAGCTTATGAGCTCTTTTATTATTATTATTATTTTTAAAAACAATATTTGCTTCCCCCCACCCCTTCAGATTTTGTCCCCATAGAATTTCCTTCCCTAAGGCACCTGTATACTGTAGCAGGGAAGGGACAGGGCACCTCACTTATTTTTATCTGACATGATACAGTATCTATCTTGTGAGAAGTGGTGAAATGGACTATAATAAATATATTGCCTAGAGGAGGAAAGTTGACAGGAGTATAAATACGGGGCATGATATATAAAGCCCCACACATCCCAATGGCCTCATTTATTAAAATCTTGCCATGCTAAATTTACAAAAAGTACTCGTCTCTATATGGGTTCTCATAAAATACTGCTTACACTCTTGCTTATATCTAAACCCTCCCCAATTTCACTATTAGCTGACCTTTCTCTATGTAAATCTCAAGGACTGGCTAATGTCCACCAGGGACTTGGCATTTAGTTGTGTTCAGGGTAGGATTTAGATTTGGATTAAAGTGAAGATATGAAGCTTTGGTCAAGGTGAAAATGATAGCTAAGATGGAATTTCTCAAGGAATCACACTATCTGGGTCATTCCCATCATTAGCCTCCCATCTAATTAATCCAGAGTCAAAGCCCAAAGTTAACTTATTGAATTAATATATATTAAAAACCTACTATGTTCTCAGTATTGGCAAGAAAGAAATGAATTATCCATAGCTCTTTCCTTTAAAGCACTCAGACTGAAATGAGGGAAATAAATACACAAATAAATAGTTTTGATAGGTTATGTTAAGTGGCATCGATGTTGAAAGGCCAATATCCATAACAGTTGAGTCTATGGTTGTCTTTATGCTGTTCTGTCTTTATTTCACTGTCTAGTATTTACATATGATTCTTCACTTTAAAATTATGAGGAAGAAAATTTACATAGAAGGGAAGGGACTTACCTGAGTCAAATAGTAAGGAATTTGAGTGCAGATCTGTTTGAATTTAAATACTACACTTTATTCTTGGGTTCCTTTTGACCTTGGCCTTTAGGTTGGAGTCCCCATATAGGGGGGGACTCCCCCAAGGAGTCCCCATATAGGTTCACTAGTAGAGACTAGCTAATGAAATTCAAGGTCCCACCTTATCTGCTTCAACCTGCTACTTCTTATTCCTATTCTTCCTACTTCCTGGATGTTCACATGCTTCACATGTTCACATACAGAACATTTTTGCATTTCTCTTGGTCCATGCTGATGTTTACCTGTGACTTATTACTTACCTACCACCCATTCCCCTTTCTTCTTGTAAGAGAACCAGCCACCCCTTTACTTTTCTCTACCCACATGCTCAGAGCTTTCATGTCCCAGACCCAACAATCTTATTGGCTGGTTCAGGGAAAGCCATATGATCCATCTCAGCCCAATCAGAATGAATTTAAGAGCTTTTGCTGGAACTTTTTGAAAAAGAGGTTCTTTCTGTTGCCTGGCATTGCTAAAGGGATGGAGGGTAAGTCTGAAGACGCCCATGGCTATTCCTGCCTCTCTTGAGAAATAACTTACTGTAAAATGAAGTCAATATGGAGAAAGCAGGGCAAAGAGAAGGAGCAGCCCCCAATCCCCTTCTCAGTTCATATTCAACACTGTACACAGTGAGGTGCAAAACCTGCACTATCACAGACTACCAAGTGCACCAAGGAGCATGCAATTGTATGGGGAATATAAAAATAAAATTTATTAATTAAAAATAAATAAATAAATAAATAAATTGAAGGAGGCTTCTACCATGCCAATCAACATAGTCCTGATCAATTCATTCTCTAATCTTATCCCTGAACTTCTAGAAGCCCAAGCTTAGGCTTGGGTAAAGTCTCTATCATCTAGTCACAAGTCAGCAAGCCATCTAGGTAGAAGAGCAAAGGAGAATTCAATTGATGTTAGACCCAGAATTCTCTCTCTGAAGAGTGATTTAAATCATAAGAAGATACATGGGGGGAGGGGAAACTGCAATACAACTTTATAGGGTCAACTACAAAAAAGGGAAGAAAACTGATTGAGATGTATCACACATTCCATAATTTAAGAATATCCAAACCACATACATATTTTAGAAAAAGCCACCTCTGCATATTCTACAACTAAACATGCATTTGGAAGAGGCATTCTATGAGGAAAGGGGTTGAGAATAGGGACTGGGGACAAACTCAGTTGGGGTATTAGTAAAATGAGAGGGACATTGCATAAACCAGGAATGACACACTGTGATACGAGAAAGAAGAGGCATTCATCTCTCTGCATCTTAGGTTAGAGGAAAAATGGGAGGAAGGAAAAGAAGGAGAGAAGAAAGAGGGTCAACACTATAAGGAAATATTCCAAAATGTTGACCAGGAATTGTAATTTGGCCAGGGATCATTGGGTTACCAGAGAGAGAAAAATCCACTCAAGGAAGCTTAAATTAAAAGAGGGTTGGTCTTAACAAGAATGAACCTAGAGGGAATAATGCTAAGTGAAAAAAAGGAAAATGCCATATTATTTCATTCATATTGTTACTTGGAGGCTCATTCCTGGTCAGGGAAACAAAATTGGTACCAGACAAAACCTTGGGGTACCCAGGGACCCCAAATCACTAAGGAAAAAACAATGTTACCTGTTCTAAGGGTTTGTATCACCCACATACTTCAAAGCAAGGTAATCAGACTCTAGTGTTTTCAGCTCAAAGGTTTTTAATAGAGAGAAGAAGAATAGGGATGAGAGGATTTCAAATAACAGACTCCCCATCAAACTCTGAAATCACCCACACACTCCTGGGCAAAGGCCCAGCCAAGCAGGCAGGGCCCAGACATGAGCTGCCAGAACAAGTCCAAGGCCCCTCTAGTCAGGGGAATATAAACAATCAGTTGGGCAAGGTTCAGAGGGCTGGGAGAGAAGGAGAGACCAGAAGTTCAAAATGTACGATCCAAGCTAGATCATCCTCCACAAAGTCAAGATGAGGCCATGTTGTCTCTGGAGAGCCAGATCCAAAGCATTAAAGCCACAAGAGTAAAGACCAGGAGCACCCCGCCCACAGGCCTTCCATTCCCTCTCCCCATTCACACAAAAAGGCCACCTCACTCTCTCCTCAGCAGCTCCCATTCCGGTAGTCCAGTTTATGGCATGCTGGAAATTGTAGTCCTCAGCTCCTGCGATCTCATCAGCATGGAGATGGGGGTGGAGCCACTGAGGACATCTCTCACTGGCTCCAAGTTTGTTCCTCATTGTTCCGCTAACAATATGTGGAAGATAAAACAAATACTTTTTGACGATTAAAACAAAATAGTGGTTACTAGAAGGACCGGGGGCAGGGAGGCTGGGTAAATGGTATCAAAGGTGTCCAGTGGTATGGATCAAAACTAGACTTTTGATGACAAACATTATAGTATGTGCAGATGTTGATTTATAATGCTGTGCACCTGAAATCTATGTGCTATTACAAATCAATGACGCTTAAGTAAACATAAATAATTTAAAATAATAATGAATCAAGTAAGTAAATCAAGGTCTTCTGGGCACAGCTGTAGAGAGTTGTGGCCTCAGAGTTGTAATCCTGGGCACTCTCTCACCTCACACTGTTAGAACCTGGTGTTGTCTCAAGTCTGTCTCTCATACCATCTGCTTCTTCTTCCTCCCCTGCAGACCAGCTTCTTTGCTCCTTCATCACCTTCCACAGGATTCATCACCAAGGCCCCAGTGATGATTCCTTGGGGGCACCCTTCACAATGGGTCTGCATGCATTCTATCAACCTGCCCTTCCCCCCCCACCCCCGCTAATGGTCTCTGTGCCTCTTCTAAGTCTGGGTGACAGGGATATAACTGGCCCAGCTCGAGTCAGCTATTTACCCCTGTTTCATACAGTGCTGGCGAGAGTGAAAGGAGTGGGTGGATGAAAGGGAAGTAAAAATGGGGCTGCAGTCTAAGAAGGTGGTGGGAGGAAAAGATTAGTATGTCTCGTACACACTGTCCCTTGTTTTGGGATTATGGATGATTATTTTCTTTATGATTGTGAGCATGATGCAATTTTCCTAAAATGACAGGAGTTGGTGATAGAATGGCTAGTGTTTAAAGATACAAGCTCTGGAGTCAGATAAAACTGGGTTCCAATTCTAGCTCTTCCACTTCTAGCTGTGTGACATGAACAAGTTCCTTCACTTCTCCGAGCCTCTTTCCTTCTCTGAAATTTGGGGCATTAGCTTTCTCATGAACTCTTGTAAGCATTAAGTGAGATAACATGAGTGAGACATTGAGCAGTGTCTCACTCATAGCAACCATTCAGGAAATGCTATGATATGTTACTAGTAGTGTACATAATTTTCATGATTGAAAATTCTTAAACAAAACCAAATCTTCACAGACACGTATCAGTTATAATTGAGCTTGTTGCTACTGTTTTTCCCTATCCCATTGCTCCTTGGAATATAGAATTTATCTTTGCTGAAAATAGCTGTTGGAAAGTACTACCATATACCAAGAACACTCCTCCCCACAACACACATAATCAATAAACTAAGACAGCTCTCTCTTCCTAGCAGCCTTCACCTACTCACCCTAATTGATCATTACAAGGCATGCTCAGAGGGTCCCTGGGCTCCTACATTAATTGACTGCATACCCACTTAATGGGGAAGTCCCCAATTCCCCAAGTGTGAGCAGATTTTCTGCCTCCTCCTGCACCCAAGTGCATTCTGGGAGACTTTGGAAGCAAGAAGGTTGGCAGGTGGTGCATCTGATCAATTAATTAGGAGCATGGTGAGAGGTTTGACTCCAGCCTAGCTAATCACGTAATTAAATCTCCACCCATCCTCCATCCCAGCACCCAATTCAAAGGGCTGTCCCTGGTTGGCCAACTCTGATTTTGATGGGCTGTAGGGAGCAGGTATGAACCCTGCTCAGGCCTGTCTATAGCAGAGACACTCCTTTGCCTGCTCCCTGCTCCCCATTTCTGCAGCTGAAGAAAAAAAGACTAGGAAATGTTCTTGGAGAGCTTTTGGGAAAGAAAGTGGATTAACTTCTTCAAAAGGTTGCTTGAGGATTAAAGAAAATGATGGAGAGTGAAATGAAACTTTTCAAGGGGAAGAACCTCAGCCTGCATTTGATAAGCAAAGCCTGTTGGTCTGTTCCTCCAGGGTGTTATGCCAGAGACAACTAGAACACGCTTCCTGCCCATATCCTGTTTCCTCTTTTCTTTAGCATAGAAACCCTGCTTTTGTTCACTGCATCCAGGTAAGCAACTAAAATAAAATGTCTTCCCCAAACTCCCTAGAGGAAGGAGTGACCCCTTGACATACTGCTCAGAGGATGTGGGCAGCAGAGCTCAGAGAGAGCTGCCCTGCACAGGCACTAGCTAGGACACTTCTGCCTCCAGTCCTCCACCTCCTTTTTCTTCTCTTGAAGTGAGATGCAATACCTGGAGGTGGAGCATCCATTTTGAAATTATGAAGTGGAAACTTAACCTCAGAGCTTAAAAATGGAAGGAATTTGGATCTCTGCTGGCACTGTGAATAGTCGTAACTGCCTGGATCTGGGGCCTCCCTGGTGGCCTAGGGTTTAAGTCTCAGCGCTATCACTGAGTTTGTCCCCAGCCAGGGAGCTGGCCCACATGGCACAGCAGACCTCTCCTGCCTCGCCCACTGCTCCGCTCAGCAGTGTATTTCAGTAGACCCACCTGTTCTGCTCCTCATTCTTCCTGGTGAATCCCCTCACCACCACCCCCACCTCTGGCCTGCACCCCAGTTCTTCTATGCAAAAACAAATAAAAAAAATATTTTTAAATACCTGAATCTGCTGTTGTGTGGAAAAACAAAGCCCTATTTGGTGGCCAGCTCTGACCTGCCATCTGCACTCCTGATACAGCCCAACACACAGATGTGTAAATGTATCAAGCGATCATGATAATAACAGCCACATGTTTTGATGGTATGTTCTAGTATAGAGCATTGTTGGAGGATTGCATAAGATGGGCAGTGGCAGGCACATGGCCCATATTCATGAATCTTGGTTTTAATTAGAACTTGAGGTTGAGAGAGTTTTCAAGACTTATCGAGAAGTTGGAGGAGGAACTAACACCAAAATTTTGGGAATCACAAAAGAAATGATAACACCAATCCTGGACTCAGGAACCTTCCCTAATAGCAAAGACCCTGGATCTGCCTTTTCCAAGGTGTAGGACCTCGGGCAAATTACTTAGCCTGGTGGAAAGTCCGTTTCTTCTCCTGCAAAAAGGGGGCAATGATTAGGGTTTAAGAGTTGCCCATGATGAAGGCTTAGTAGTGTGTCAGCACTTGGGATTCATTCCACCTGGCAATAAGAGGCTCTTAAAGGAGAGATTCTAGCAGGGCTTGGGGACAGCTTGCCAGACAATATCCCAGGCTTTAAGCAAAGGTGTTTAAGCAGGTCCCGTGAAAATCAAGAGGAGGCACTCAGCATATCCTCACTTTGACAAAAATCTCTCAAAGAGGCAGTCAATTACCAAATCCTTGTTTCAGCTAAATCAAACATACTGCAGATCCCATAGGCATTTAATACTGATATTATAGCCCCAGGAATAACAAGCAAAAGTAATTAAGTTTAATGATTCCAACGAACCCAGTATGCTTGATTGCAGTGTGTGTGCCTAATTATCTTCCCTTTTTTGTTGTTGTTGTGTGCATGGTATAAATAAGGCCTATTTGTATATTTTTCTTAAAGGCACTAATTTTAAGATGCATTAGAGAAAGTTGCATCTGCAAGCACCTTTCTAAAGGGCTTGCTCGAAACCCTGAGTGGGGGAAAGTCGCTGGCTTGTCAAAATGGCTGAGATGATGTAATGCTCAGGTCCCTCAACTGCAGGGCAAACCAGCCTACCAGCAGTGGAGGAAAGTGAGGAGGCCCAAGACTCTAGGGCTTTCCGTCCTCTTGTCCCCAAGGTAAAGGAACAGGAGAAGTGAGTAAAGGCTGGAGGCACAGAGACATAAAGTTGGGAGGAAATTGTCTCCTGAGTGAGGGCGCAGGCCCAGCTGCCCTGGAAAAGCCTCCCATGGTACACTGGGTCATTGGCCTCAAGGATACCCCGACACCTTCCTATGTGTGTTATTTGCCAGGGGAGTTGACTTCCTTCCACTAACAGGACGGAATCTATTGCCACACCCCTTGACTGTGGTAACTTGCTATGGCAAACAGCATGAGGTGGAAGAGACAGGTGCCAGGACAAGCCGGGGGCTGAGGAGACAAACTCTTCTTGGGTGAAGAGTTTCTGCCATTGCTACGTGACCTGCCTGGGGCAGCCTGCCAGTCCCGGGAGGAAGAGAGACACATGGCCAGCCTCGACCCATGGGACCCCGTCTCAGTCACAAATAGTCACAAATACAGGTGTTAAATGTGTGCTTGTGGCTGACTTGTTTATTAAATGCTAGTAGGATACTGAATTTTTTAATGTAGCATCAGAGCTTTGGTATGGCAATAAAAAATGTGAAATGTTTGTGACAATAAGTGATTTTCTGGGGCATAGTTTCTCAGTTTTCAGGGGATTCTGAAAACTCTGACCCAAGGAAAACTAGAAACCCTCCTGGAGAGTTAACTACACCTGTCTGCACTTGGCTACAAGCCGAAAACTGCTGCGGTGCCTGTAACCCTTTGTCTGTCTAACCCCCACTGTTCCTTCCCTGCTCCACATTTGGTCTCAACAGCTGAGTAGATTTGTATCTGCCATGCTGAAAGTATTTATACCCTACAAACTGGCAAACTCTACAAACCAGGGCTTTTTTCCTTCCCAAGAGACAGCTTACCAGCACACTAGCACCTGCTCAATCCCTGACCAGGTCATCTCGACGCTCTGCCATCAGCCATGTCTCAGGGAAATGATCTCTTTCCTCATCCTTGCTTCTTAAGTCCTTGCATGAGAGGTAGCTCAAGCGATCTGTATTCCAATCCCAGCTACTGGACAGTTGTGAGTTTCTTCAAATTGCATTCTCTACATCTGCAAAATGGAAATAAGAAAATTTTCTAACTCTTAGAGTTAATGGGAAAATTCAGCGAGATCATTCAGGCAAAGCACAGAGCACCACCTCTGACATCACCTATGTGCCCACTGAGGGGCAGCTGTCATTACTTGGTTCACGTACACACATCATCTTTTGCCTCATTTGCAACACCTTCCATCTGACCTACCTTGTTGGTCTCACCCCCATTTTACTACATCCTCCCTACAACAGACAGAGCAAGTTGAAAAAACTTAAGTATGATTGTGCTGCACGCTTGCTCAAAACCCTCCAGTCCCTCCCGTTGGCCTTCAGAAGGCAGTCCCAGTTTGCCAGTGGGCAACTTGGAGGGTGGAGAGGTTAAGGAATTTTCCCAAGGTCATGAAAGCAGCAAATGACATAGGATTAAAGCCCAGGCTCTCTATCCCTACTATCTGTCCTCTTAACCAGTGTATAGTACTCACAGCAAAGGGGCTGGCTGGAAGGATGGATGGGTGGGTGGGTGGGTAGGTGTAGGGTAAAGAAAATGTCAGGCTTTTCTGCCCTCCCGCCATCAGGATAGATGATGGATCCTTGTCCTGAATGCATGCCTGATGGCGGGCACCTGGAATAGGGTGTGGGCATAGGTAGACGGGATTCAGCTGAGCTAAGACTGTGCTTTTTTAAGGGCGGCGTCACGGGGACGCCAGTAGAAGCCGAAAGAGAAGCCGAGAAAGAAGTAGCAGAAGCCGAGAGAGAAGCAGAGAAGGCCGGAGAGCCCAGATAGAGTGAAGACTTGCTGGGGGCCGGGAGGCCTGCCAGCCTCCTGGCCCCCCAGAACCCCTGCCTGCCATATGTCTGGTGAACCCCAACAAAAGACCTGCAAAAAACCGCTGAGGACTCTGACTCCTCCTTTACCCAGTCTGCATGGGATCAGGAAACCTGCACTGTGTCCATTCCTGCCCCTTACAGTGGGTGGGTGGATGGATGATTGGGTGGATGGAATGCTGAAGGGATGCAATGATGGAAGGCTGAACAGAAATAGAGAAAGGAGACTCTGAAATGAAAGGATGGATGGATGGATGAACAGTAGATGGAAGGGTAGGATCAAAGCATAGAAAAATGACAAGATGGATAGACTGAAGGATAAAAAGACATAGGCATTCTCTTAAGTGGCTTTCTTAGCAGGACTTCTCTCACAGACATCTACCTGGAACACCTGCTGAGTAGGTGAACCCTTCCACATTTTAGTTCCTAGCTTCTGCTTCCTGTGCAGCAGCCTCTCCCTCTGTCAGATCTACCCCAAATTGTTCCTAAACAATACTCCCTGGGTGATCAGCTTCCAGCAAACTGACCATTTGTCTTCTTCCAGAAGCTCAGGTTTTCTCATGACAAGGGACCAAAGTTTGCATCTTACTAACAAACACTAGATGCTTACTGTGAGCTAATTATATAAATACCTCATTTAATCTTTGCAATACCCTTGTAAGGAAGACTTGTCATTATCATTATTATTATTTTATCCATTCTGAAGATAAAGAAGCTTAAGTAATTTACCCAAAGTTGCACAACTACAAAGAGGTGGATCCAGGATTAATCTCAGACAACCAGACCCCAAGACCCACACTCATAATGCTGCCCTAGTAGCTATGTCTTCTCAGCAACCTCAGCTGTCAGCTCCATTCCCTGCATTGAATGGCGATGCTGTTATCAGCCCAGGAGGATGAGTCATCTTGTCTCTTTCAACCTTAAGGGATTTCTCACACACCTGCCAATTTCTACCCAACAATCATCCAGAATATATCACCATTACCAAACCAGAGCACTGTGGGCCAAAGACACCTTCCATGAGGGATTAATGCGCTCTGACATCTCGCCTGAGGAAAATATATTCCTGTTGGGCACATGGCTTCATTGGGACAATAGACCCATGGTGATTTTAGAATCTGGCAAACCTGGATTCTAGCCCCAACCTTGTCATTCAGTTAAGCTGCGTGACCTTGGGCAAATTACTTCACATCTCTGAGCCTCCATTTTCTTATCTGCAAAAATAGGGAGGATGACAGCAGCTGGTATGAATAGATGTGAGAATTAAATGAGACAAAGTGTACAAAGAGCCTAGTACAACCAGAAGTACACAAATGACAGCTATTGCGGTGTAGTGGTGGTTTATCTCAAATGCAATAGTCTCTCTCTGAGTAGATAGTCTTCATACAAATTTTCCAAACTGTGCTAGACTATAGAAAAATCTCTGTCCACCATTAAGACACATATTAAAGTATCAGCACCATTTAGGAAGAAAGGCTACTTTTCGTGTGTGTGTGTGTGTGTGTGTGTGTGTGTGATTTTAAAACAAAAAGAAAAACTCAGCCAGTGTTGCTCAAGGCCCAGACCCCTTGAACAATCAGTTGGGTAAACTCCTCTGGCTTGATTAGCTTCCCCTTGTTAACTGACAGGGTTCAATGCAATTTAATTTCATTGGATGGAAGTGGTTCAGAAATCAAGGTCATTTAATTTCTGAAAGGCAAGTGAAGGGTTGCCTTTCCTAAATGATCTTTCTGCCATTAATTCCCCTTAAAATGAAAAGTACAGTGGTTAATACCATGACTTCAAGGTCATGTTAGATGACCCTTCCAAATAAGAGAATTCTTTCTACAGGATTTTAATTAGGTTGAGTACAACTAATTCTTCCTTTGGTACTTATTCCATTTCCTTTCCTTTCTGTAATTACTGCCAGTGTAACGCTCCTCACACACACAAATGGAGCTGAAGAAAGCCCTGCGATTATCCTTTAATTCTCCTTCATGCAAGAAAGGTGGGGTTTTCCACTGTATTCAGTTCTTGTAATTCTGAAGACTGTAGCCCTAATAGCCTTATACATGTGAGAGTCAGCAGCTTCATAAAGAGTGAGTGGGTTCCTAATGAAATCCTAACTTTCGACACACAGATCTCCCCATTCACCTGGTCAGAGGAAGATTATGAAGCATCGAAACAAAGAAATCAACTCAATGCATGCTGTCAATCAATAACACAATCGAGCGCCTGCCTGCCAAGGGCTCAGTAGGGTGCTCCGTGCGTGGGAGTAGGGTTGCAAAGGAAATGAAGAAGTTTAGTTAGGTTTGGTGAGACAGACAATTAGCAGGCAGAGTAAATCAACAATACACAACTTGGCCCTAGAACAGGAAAGGCACTACATGTGGTGGTGGTGATGAGAGCTAGGGACAGGCAACCAAAATTCTCCACAAAGGAAGTGAGGAGTCTGTTGACCTTGGAAGCACAAGAAGGACACACATATCACTCACTTAAAAAAATAAATATCTCCTGAGCACATGCCTAACATGTGCTGGGAGTCATATTAGCACTCAATGTGCAATATTTCATCATTCCTCTCTCCTTACATACGCTTCACAGATAAAGAAACTGAGGCTCGGAGATATTAAGAAAACTGCTCAAGGACACATAAAAGAGGCAGAACTGGGCTTCAAATCCACATTTCTCTGACTTCAGACTCCAAGATAAAAAGGCAGCAAAGAATGGAACCCACTGGGAAGGAGCCTAGCAGGCTGTCTGGAGAGGGAAGAAAACCGAAGTGTCCACTAGTGAGACTCTGTAACTGTGTCTACTCTAATTCCATTTTATTTTCATCATAGCACTTGTCAGTTCGTGTTATTTTCTTGTGATTATTTTATCGGTCTCCTCCTCCCTCTAGAAGGTGAAATCCAAGAGAGGAAAACCGTATCTGGTTTGATTGTTGCTGATTACGCTGCACCAGGAGCCTTGACTGTAAGGGGTCACAAATCTGGTGAATTTGTGGAATGACAGACTGGATCTCACTTCCAAGAGCCAAGAAAAGGAGGGAACCGCATTGTAAACTCCAACAAGTCTTGCTCCACTCCTGGGGTTGTGCCCTCACTCCTTGTTGTGTTATCAGCACCTAGGACAGCATCCACAGCGCCTGGTAGCCGAACTGATGCTAAGGAGAGGGTGCCTGGCGGAAGGAGGAAGCTAAGGAGCAAGAAGGGGGGAGAGAGGAAAGAGGCAAGGAAAGAATTGGAACAGAAAGTCACAGTTCAGTAAAAAGCAGGTTCAAGTTCAGCCAAATTATTATTCCTCCTGCTGATTAACAAAGCCACCTTGCTAGAGACGAGCCAGAGGAAACTCACTGCCCTGAGTCCATTCTCAAGAAGACCCAAATCCCTAGCTGTCCTGCAACTCTGGTGATTCTCCTCTGTACATATCACCCCGTCCTGACCTGCAGGGGAACATGTCCTCTGAATTTTGCAGACCTCTCAGCCAACTTGGATTCTCTTTTCATTCATTTGTGTTTTCCTAAAGACTATTTATTCGTGTACTTTCTGTTTGGGCAATTATTGAAATTATGTCTAATTATGTGGTGATGGTAAATAATAATAATCACCTAGCTGCAACATGTTCTGTTTCTATTATGGGTAAAGATTTTGTGCTCTTTGCTAGGAAACATTTTAAGGTAGAGTGCTGATTAGGAGCAAGAGAGGGTGTCATGTTGAATATTTGGTTGAGTTATCACTATTCTACCCAATTGCTATGCAAAAAGGTCCTAACTTTTTTTTATCCATCCCTAGGGCTGTGCTCTTTGCATATTATTACCACAATTACTATTAATAATAGTTACTCTTAATTCAGCACTTCCAATGTGCCAGATCCACTTTAAATCCAAATTAAAATTCAGTGCAAACTTAAATATCTGCAGGGACTAGAAAGTGTGGTAAATGGCTAAAGCTGGGTTTGAGATACAATAGGGAGCAGTGGGGTCTGAGGTGAACTGCAGCTTGTATGCCCCAGCTAAAGGAGACAGTGACCACTCAGCAACAGTCCAATATTACCATTTAGAGATGGGTGAATGGTTCTGCTGATTCTCTTGACCGTTCAGGAGAAGCCAGAAATACAGACTTTAATGTGAAATTCCCAGATCATAATTCCCATTGTGAAATTTCCATTTTGTAATGTCTGCATGCTGCTCATTTATAATCCCTCGGTCTCAGGCTTCCCCATCAGAAACCTGTGGAGAAGACTGCTCTTTGAGGGGGGAGCTGTGGTGACTTTGTTGGGGGAAGGGAAGCAAAAATTGCATTGAACTCTTACAGTGGAGGCTGTAAGAGCCCATTTCTCATTTTTATTTAAAATCTCATAGAAGTCATTTCAGAAAACAATGAATACCATCAGAAGTCTTGTCAGGGAGGAAAGGCTGGTGAAGGGGAGGGATATAATTACTGGCAGCACTGATAAGGAGAGCTAAAAACAGACAAGCCAGAGTCAGGAAGAAAACTGTCCTCCTGCCATGGTCCCAGCTCAGAGGGCAGGGACCACCACATACCCCCAAGGCTGGCAGAAACAGGGAGCTGCAGAGATGGGGTGTCAGTCTGCCTGAGTCAGAGACTCCAGGGTCAATAGGAACAGGAGGAAGCTGAGGCTGGCTTCAGGTGCCAAGGAGGAAGCTTCATGCCCTTCCACCTCAAATTCAATCTCATTGATTCAGGAAGTCATGGTCAAGTTCAGACCTCTGCATATTCCCTCCCCATGATACCCAAGACTTGCCCTTTGTGACATTCACTACACATGTGACTAACTCTTAGTGTCAGTTTCACTTTCCTCATGAATATGAAAGCAGGAGTTTAGGTGTCCCTAGCACCCACAGCCTTGACACACACAGAGCAGGGGGCTCAACAAATTATGACCTATAAATGGACAGACGAATTAATAGCTCTTGACTTCAGGCACAGACTCCTAAATCACAACTGAGGACTACCAGGTTTATGATGGTTAAATGACTAGCCCAGGTAACACAACAGAGATTTTAATCTGGTCTGTCTGAGTCTTTTATCACCTTCTGCACAGGCATAGACAGAGTGAGAAAGTTAACTCTATATCAAATTGGTGAGACTCAAAGGAAGCTTATTAACGGAGGTGCATTTATTCTGGGTTCTGAAGGATGAATGAGGATCAGAAAGGCAGAGAAATATTCCAGGTGAGAGAAATGTCTCAGGCAGCAGCCTAGAAATAACAGGTGCATTCAAGCAATGGTGAGTGGATCATGGGTAAAGGGGAGTCTTGGGTAAGGCTGAAACCATATCATGAAAATTTTGAAATCACATAATTGCCAGAAATTACTTATTAAGTGCCTGCCACATGTTCTCACTGTCCCAAGTGATGGGGAGAAGCTAGGTGCCCTCGCTTCCTGCCTCCACAGAGCAGACAACCTAGCGGCCCACAACACTGACTCCACAGCATTTTGGCAAAGACCAAAAGAGGAACTGAGCAAGGAATTATTTGGAAAAGCCACAGAGTGCTATTTAAACTCCCTCTGTTCTTCCTTATCGCTTAGCCAATTCATGACAATTCAGTGAAAGCTCCAACTCAGATTGGAGAACAGAAAGATAATTCATTGACCAAGTAAAAGAAAAAGAAGACCTGTGGGTGCCAGTGGCTTTGCCGAATCAGCAGACAAAATTCACCATGACTCTGCTTAGCGGCCTCTGTACAGGCTCATCCTCAGCCAGCCCAGCCAATCCCAACAGCTCTAGAACTCTCACACCCCCTCAGTTTCACACTCCACTGAGCTGCCCGTGGCTGACCTCTGAACCTGAGCACAACTCTCACTGGCCAGAAAGACACCACATGCTTGTCTTAGAACCAATCACTCTACCCAGAGGGAGAGGATATGTTAATTGGCTTAGACTGTTCAGAACTTCCTTCTCCACAGATCAAGGGGAAGATGATAGATAGATAGATAGATAGATAGATAGATAGATAGATAGATAGATAGATAGATAGATAGATAGATAGAGAAATTCTCCAAAGGAAATTCCAGGAATAATTTTACTAGAAGAATGATAGATTCTGGGGATCAAAAGCACTATCAGTCCACTATTACCAATGGGAGGTTTCTTAAAAATAGTTCCACAACTTCCCTCCCTTAATATCCGCCTTAAAAATGCAAAAACTAACTCAAAGGGACATATACAAGCATATGTTCATCAGCGCTATTTCCCATACCCAAGTTACTAAAACAACCTACATGCCCAATGATAGATGAGTAGATTAAGAAGGCATGGTATATACATACAGTGGAATACTACTCAGCTATAAAAAAGATGACATCTCATCATTATGCTAAGCAAAATAAAGAATTATTCTATGCAAAATAAGTCAAAAAGTGAAGGACAGATAATGGATGATTTCATTCATATTGGACTATAGAGAAACAAAACAAAGAAACAGACAAAATCAAAGCAAATCCTAGAAATCTGACTATAGTATCAAGGCCACAAGAAGGGGAGGGAGAAAAGGAGCGAGTGAAGTAGAGAGGGGAAACAATAGACTATGTTGGAGGATTATGGGTACACTGGTGGTGTGGTGTGGACACAAATCCACAAATGAACCTATAGCTCTAAACCACATACAGTGTTGTAAACCGCTGTTACCGCAATAAAAAATGATGTAATTTTTCAAATAAAAATAAAATGTGAGTAAAAGAAATCTCACATTATCAAGAATCACATTAAATGTCACACTCTCAAAGCCCAAGTTGCTTGTGTGTTTATTTGTTGTGGGAGGGGTTGGCAAAAATATCAGTAACAAGGTTTTCTTTTTTAAAGTCGATGCGTCTATGTTGTCATTGTTAGCTATAAAAATGACAAGCCATCACTGAGCAAATCCTTAGCAGCACTTGAGATTTGACCAAATCAATGTGCTTGGAGACTGGTGGTTCTCACCCCTGGCTGCACATAAAATTGCCAAGTGAGCTCTAAAAAGCCTGACTCTAAGTAATTCTGATTTAACTGGAGGGTGGTCTGCAAGTGAGTGTCTTTTAAAAACAATGATTTTCAACTCTGGCTGTAATGAGCATCACCTGGAGAGTTTTTTCTTTTCCTTTAAATCCTAAAGTCCAGTTTACAACTCAGAATGGTAACATCAGAATTCATGGAGGTGGGTCCCAGGTGCCAGTGGATTTTGAAGATTCCATGAGCAGCAGCATTAACAGCGACCAAAGGGAACATGTCCCTGGCAGGCAGACAACTGCTGCATAAAGCAGCCGGATCTTCCTTTGCAAAATGTGAGGTCATATCTCTTCTTATACCCAGGCTCTGTTTCCCTGATTTTGCTCCCATAATATACAACAAAAGTCTGCGCTAGTCAAGCCATGTCCATTAGCATAATTGAAGCATTGGATCAATTTCCCATGATGAAAATGTATGTGGTCAAAGACATGGCCTGGACTAGAACTAATTTTCATGGCTCACAGATGAGATGCAGAAGCCACTAGCATTGCGAATGAGGCAAGTTACAATGTGCATGAAGAGCTAACATTTAATAAGGGCCTGGTTTGTGCCAGGCATGCTTCAAAGCAGTTGACAGAGAGGCCTCCCTGGTGGTGCAAGGGGTGAAGTCGCAGCACCATGAAGCAATCCATGGCCACTGCAGCATGAGTTCAATCCCTGGCCAGGGAGCTGACCCACATGGTGTAACAGGACCTCTCTTGTCTTGCCTACAGCTCCCCTCAGCAGTGTATTTCAGTAGATCTACCTGTTCTGCTCCCTAGTCTGTCTCTGGTGAATCCTCTCACCCCCTGCATCTCTGGTCTGCACCCCAGCTCTTGTAGGCATAAATAAATAATTTTTTTTTAAAAAGCAGTTGACAGAATCTCTAGAAAATTCTCTGCCATCATGTGTTACTTTTACAGATGAGAAAACCTAGACACAGAGAATTTCAGTGAGTGGCCCAAGATCCCACAGCTTCCAAGTAGTTGAGCCAGTATCTGAGCCTAAGCAGCCTGACACTGAGCTCAGCACACTTAACCTTCATGTTGCAGGAAGACTGGCTGGAAGTTACAAGGAATGTTCAGTGCATCTCACTCGGTCACCACCCTGGAGAGAGAATATTCGGAGCTTGAAGGACCTCTCCCCTGGGTTCTCATTAGAGACAGTGTCTGGTGGCCTCTAGGCTGGTGGCCTTTCAGATCAGTCCACAGGATTCCTTCTTTTGTCCATTTGCTCAAATGAGTTGAAGGTTAAAAGATGCTCCAGGGGGAAGAGGAATCCAGCAGAGAAGATGGCTCTTCACCATTTGCATGCCTCCCTCCATCCAAGTCTTACTCAAAGAGAAAGTGGTCTCGAAAGTGGTCTCCTCGCCTCTTTCTCTAATTAACTTCAACTTTACCTTCAAGAGTTAACTCAGGATTAAGTTCCCTTGAAGGAAACTTCCCTAATCACCTCCTTCCCCCTTCCAGGTTTTTCTTCTCTCCCACATGAAGGGTGGAGGAAGCAACTCCAGATTAAGAATTGAGAAGCAGAGAGAAGGCTGAATTTGCTTAGCAAAACCACCTTGATGGACATTTTGGGTTGTAGGAAGATGGTCCTCAGAGTCTGGAAGGACTAGGACACATGGGCAAAACTGAATGTCTAACTAACAATGCAGGAAATTTGGAATCTGCTGGCCAAGATGGATAGCCTGGGTGTGAGGAAGTTCTTGGAGGGGGTATACATTGTGCCTGCAGGACAGGATGAAACTGAAGAATGATGTTGGCCAATGAGAAGTCCCATGATACCCTGGCACGTCTGACCAGAAGAACTGAGAATAAGAATGTCGTCAAAAGCCACTGGCTATGCTAACATTTAGCTATTTTTATCATCTCTCTTCTCTTCCAAAAAATGTTAAGTGAACATTAACTTTTTGCAGTTTCTTTGGTTGACTGGCAAGGAAAAGTAACTTTGTTGAATATTTGGCTGATGTAGAGAAAGAGCAAAGAGCGCTGCCACTGGAAGTAAAAGACAAATGGACCTAACAGTAATGGAAATTAGCTGGAGCTATGAACAGAAGCCGTAGAATTTAGGAAAATATTGGAGAAGACAAATCCAATAGAATAAGATGCAGTTGGAAGATGAGTCAATGTTATTTATTTCTCAAAAGAAAAGACAGACTTATCTAGTGTGTTAGTGACACAAGCTTTCCCTTAATGATGGTTCCTCAGAGGTCTCAACCTCTTCTTTGTAAGTTGCCAACATTACATAAAAAACTTTCAAAAGCAACATTTTTAATAATCTTGATTCTGACCCTACTGAATCGTTTTAAGCTCTGCAAACGCTTCAATATTTTTATTCCACAGATTTTTCCATATTTTTCTATCTGCCTGAAGCACACTTGCCCATCATATTTTCCTTTTTTAATTTCTTCTATTCTTTTAGATCTCATTTTCAGCTCTAACTTCCTCTGATGTATTAATGAGGATGTTTTAGCCTGCCAGGAAAAAAGATTCCACTCACAATGGCTTAAACAATAAGAGATTTACCATAGAATCAAATGCCTCTTCTGTGCCACTTCTGATCCTCCAACGTGTTGGGTTTCTCATGTCAGTGGGCCAGCAGCAAAGTAAGGAGTGACAGCGCTGGTGCAGTTAATTGATTCTGAGCACATGAAGAATGCAACTACAAAGTTGGTGCA